CAGCCTGAAAAACAATCATTCAGCACCATGTACTGTATATAAGTGGCACAAAAAAGGAAAAATTACAAGGACTGTGTCATCAAAATCAATTGTAACCTTGCTCGAATGGACTGTACAACACTGCAGACAATCTGTACCAGAACAGCAAGCCTGCTGCCCTGGCACACTCTGAAAAAAACTTGTTTTAAAGTTATCACTTGATTTAATTCACGCCCCTCTGGAACATACAGTAACTCTTTACTAAATAGGGCGCTCTGTGTTATTAAAATTAAGCGACTTGAAATAACTTTGATTTACTAATATCATTTTGCTGGAAATAATCTTTATACTGTGCAAAACATAACACTTAAGAGGATCTTAATATACCATATTGCCCATATATACACACACATATAAAGCATGACATTTATTTATCAGCCAGTAGGAGCAGGTGTGTAGTACTGCAGCCAAAGAAATAAATGTACTATGTCCTAGGTGTTTACTGAGCCAATTTCCTTCCAGGCAAAGAAACCATGACATGTACAGTAAGTATAGATTAAACTAATAGGAAAAAGATTTTCTAAAGCCTAAGTTTTCAAATGTACTTTCTAGATCTTTGGACTGATCTAGACAAAGTCTACCCCTTCAATCAATCAGTGTTATTTTTGAATTAATATGCCATAAACAACTGCTGCCATTACAATATACGCCTAAAATCTGGAACTACTAAACTCTAAAGCTTTTTAAGCTTTAACAGAGATGACTGCAAGGAGAGACAATTTAAGTATTCAGAATCTTCTAAGGCTTTTATCAATTTGATCAATTAACTACTGGCAAGCAAACAACCTGGATGGATTGACCGGCCTCCTCTTGCTCGTAACATCTTTTGCTTTAGGCAGAACTCTTAGCCATTGCTCTCAGGCAATGACCTAGCAGCACTGAAGACATACACACACATCCTCAAATGCGAGTTGAAGGACTGACACAACTCCCTTTGATACCATCTAATTGCACCGATGCCCTGGCATGCCACAGGGCTCACAGTTTTACAGCATGCTGAGGGTCCCCCACTGTCTCCGTCCATCACAGTTTCACCAGTGTTCACCTGCAATACTGAGCGTGAGGAAAGGCACAGACTCCTGACCACAATATTCAAGCTGTGTGGTTCATCCTACTCATCAGGACCATTTTAGAAGATCTGCTACACTGAAGCACAGCTCTTTATTATGCATTTAGGACCTAGCAGCACAGTTCCTTATTTTTTTTATATTTCCGTTTAAACACATTTGAAAAAGCACAGTTCTACAAAAGTTCACATTTTTACATTTACATTCATTGGAAAATCAGAATCCAAGGGTTTTAAGGGTAGTTATTAACAACTAAAACAAACATACAGACTTGTACCTTTAGGTGCTATGTTAAACCATCTTTTTGGAGAATTTTGCATAGAAAAAGAGCTTCACAATTTCACTCTGCTGGAGTTTACCTCACTACTGAAATACAACACCTATACAAATTAGCAGCAACACAGGTGACAAACATACTGTAGGAATACAACACTACAACTGGGGCACGCCAACAGTATACTTACCAAATGAGACCTACAGTACAGTTTATATTTGTTTTACTGTATATGTCCTAAATAATATATCAAACCAGTGTCATAAATGACTCAATCAGTTAGGCTTCAAAATCCACAAGAGGCTAAAGACTTCAGAATTATGTACTTCAAACATATTTCTATTCAATATAAATTACTAAACAATTACTTTGGCACCACTCACTTGAAATTACTTGAACAAATATTCCCTTGAAAAAATACTAATATTTCAGAACAATGGGTTTTACTACAGGCTGGAAAACACTGAAGCATGGGAAAAAAATCTTTTGATGAAGTAAGAAAAATATTTGAAAGCGTTACTCAGTTTTCACAACAAAGCTGTGTTTGTTTAAACTTCAAACAGGGGGAAACGGAACTATTTTAGAAACAGAGCCTCAAACCTGAGACAAACATTGGAAATGATAACATTAATTCAATATATTTTAACAGTAACCTGTATTCTTAATTTGTAAAGCACACTTTTAACAAAATATAAAGCCCTCAGTCATGCGAGTCATGGACCACATAACTGTTTTTCATTAACGCAGCTCAACGTAAGTGATCCATATCACATGTGTCCATCACGTGTGTCCATCTTTAGCTCGAACGCAGCAAGCAAACTGCATGGCACAGATTACCAGAGACATTGCACATTAACAACAGGGATGTTCCTCCCTTTAATGTGTAGAGCATGAGCCAGGTTAGTGAAGTCTTTTTGGCAATGGTTGATGTAACTGTACACATATATGCCCAATTTTGAACATTTTTACCCAATTTTTATGCAAGTAAAACTTTCAAAACTGCATCACTATCTTAGTACCGCACCAGAATAGACACCAAAGGTCACATGCCTTGACTTGTTTCAGAATGCATTCAGACTGGAACACATGGGAATCCCAAAGCAAGGCCAAATACCTACAGTCAACAACCAAAAACCACAAACCACACTGTGGAATGTGGATTTAGCTCTTGCAACACTCTTGCATTGATATGAATATAGACCCTTGCTTAATCTTGGGCTTGAAGCACTTCTTAAATGTCTTAATGCATATAGGTACATTGTCTATAGCATGTGCTATACTGTTGCAGTAGAAAACCTGGTAAGTTTTGACCGCCTATGGGTCTGGGACACAGGGGCTGGAGGTCATTTTACAAAAAAGTGTGGTTTTTGTATTACAAAAAAGGGATGAAGGAAAAACAAAGAGGCGAAAGCAAACAAAACCCTCATCAAATATCCAGCAATATTAGTATGAAATACTCTGACACACAAACAACAATGCAATACCACTATGGTTTCTCCAAGTGAATATATTTGCCTTTTAAAATCTGAAGTCTGCCCCTGAGAAGCTATGCAACTGACTCCTCAAATAATGAGAATGAGATATATGCCTACATTTATGTGTTGGTTAATTTGCCTACTAAGTAGTACAAGGAAGCCAGCCCATCATTCACAATAATCAATAATTCTGTCACATGCAGTTATGAAACAACATACTATGATCACCCAATTCTTCACCAGGGATACAAGATAGGCCTGATCGTACTAGATGTCCTAGATGTCCAGAGGTGTTGAACTTCAAGCACAGTCTTTATTTAGAAGCTGCTAGGTAAGGAGCTGCTAATCAGAAGGTCTATGTTTTAAAGTACACTAATCACACTGAGGCCCCTGAGCGTAAGATTTGATGGCACGGTAATCCAGCAGTAAACCTGCTTATTACTTTAATAATTTCTATCCAACATAAAAAAATCTGTTTATTTCTAGTAAAGATGCACCAACCTGGAGTCCACCTCACAGCCACAGGGTGCAAGGACTACATCCCGGAGTTGATGCCGGTGCATCACAAGTCTCGCACGCAATCAAGGCTTTTCAAGGAGAGTGCGAGGAACCTGGAGAAATCTCATACGAACGAGGGACAAAATGCAAACTCCACATAGAAAGACCACCAGTCTAGAATGAAACCCAGGACCCCAGAGCTGACCGCACAGTACATCCAATAGCCTTGCACTGGAATAAACATTCAGCACAGAACTTTAAAAAGAAACATTTAGAAAACGTTTCCGTATTAAAATAAAGACTTCAATTGTATTCACAGAAGCAAGTAAGAGGAAACACTAATTAAAGGCAAAAGAAAAAAAATAAAATTGAAAGAGTATTTTTTCTCGATATGTATTTGTAATATATAAAATGATTTAAAGCACAGACCAGCAGCCAAACTGGTTTAGTGGTGGGTAAGGCCTTGAATTATGCTGGTACAAGCTTCAACCTGCTCCACCTTTTACAAGTCTATTAATAGGGTGTGGCTGTTATACTCACAAGTAATTTTTAAAGCTTCGGCTTTTGCTTATTTTACGCCTCGCAGTATTTTGCCGAGAGGTTTTTAAATATAAACTTAAATATTTTTACATCTCCTCGCCCTGCTGTACCCTCTATTTACATTCCCTGTAGGACCTGCTCCGAGAAGCAGTCTATTTTGCACTTCATCATTTTTTCTTAAACGTCAAATACTGAGCTTTGTCAGGCTAAAAGGAGACGTTCTGCGTTATAATTGTCGTTTTGCGTCTTGATCATTATAAAACAGGCGGAGAGCTTGCAGTTCAGTTTACACGGGGAAAGGGAATTAAGTTAAACAACGGTTCGTAACCGAGTAATGGCACCCCTCTCTGGACAGTTTAAATTATCCAAACCGCAGGATATTGTTATTAAAAATAATAATAATCACAACTTCGGCACTTGTGCGTAAGCAACACATTCATAATGATTCATTCAACGTAGCAAAAACAAAGCTTTTAAAAAGATTTTGCAAATTTCCTGGAGAAATAGAGTTGGAGCCCAGTATTTAATGCAACGTAACACTGCAATACTTCAGAAAGTAGGATGCGAGTAAAGCAAACGCACTTTTAATAGCTGTGATGACAGCAAAAAAATACAGTTCATTAGTAGGTTTACTATCGACAAGAACAAAATGACACAAATAACTACGACTAACAAATGGACAGCTAATGAATTTCCTGCTGTACAATACACAGGAGTTAAACCAGGTCTATTTCGACACCTAGCTACAAAATGCAAATAACCAGGTAGTCTTTCCCAAATGGCTCAAAAGAAAACCCTCAGCATAAGGATGAACTGGAAAATTTGTTCTTCCTTGTTCGTGGTTCAACTGCGAATCTGTGTGAAGAGCGATATAAACCGATTTGACCTCCCTAATAATAAAAAATATTTTTATTCTTTAAAATATGCTCGTCCATAGGAGATTTATTTTTATCAGACGTCTGTTTGTTTGCGTACTGAATAAACTTAACTGGCAGTTTTAGTGCAAGGTGGAACAGAGATACAGTACATAACTCCCAGACAGGAGAAATTTTCCAAGGCTGAGGAACGAACCAGAAACGAGGTAAAATATTGACCATCATTACTCACCAGGTCTGACTTCCATAGTTCCATCTTTTCTGCTACACCACAAAGCCTTATCCCCGCTTTGTAGGATATAATGATCTTTGGCTTGAAACAGCTCCATTCTGACAATACAGTACACAGCATGTGCATATACTAGATCTGCCGGGTTGCTCAACAGTCCATCGTGCTGAGGAGAGTGTGTGATATTTTATCTAGGCTGTCATTCATTAGAACTGATGGAAGGGGAAGAACACTACAAATCCCGTTTTAAAAACATCCCTGTTAAGGGAAGATACTGTACGAGTCTAATTACTCTGTGCTCTGCTGTGAGAGTACTGTTTCTGTCTCAGCCTAGCTCTACCTTGCTTTCCTCTTGCTACCCAGAGAATCGATTTCCTGCAGAAGCCGTTCACATGTGACTTAAGTCGTCAGCCGAGGGCTGTCCTTTTAAAGGGAACACCGCCCTCTTTGAAGGCAACATAGTGTCTTTAGAAAATCATCTACTTTGACTCTATTCATTTTTAAACATGACGCCTCTTCTCATTGTAGGTTAGTTAGAACAGTGAGGGAATGTTTTGCAATTTCGTGTGAAATAGGCAGTACTGTACTCAGTTTCACCAGCAAAATCAGTAAAACTGCAAATCTGTCAAAACAGATACATTTTGAACGAGTTTAAAGTACTGTAGTTTATTCATGCCTAAAGATTCACGCAGCTGTTGTTTTAGACTGAGTTATAATAATTGTACCTCAAGTATTACTAATTTGCATATGAATGAAAAATCTTTACATCTCTACTGAGAGGGGAGAGAGAAATATCATCCTTAAAAATAATTTAAAATAATAAATCTGTCGTTGAAACTTAAATAGTTTCATCATGGACAACTGAAAATAATATGAAAAATTTGTGAGGAGGGGTCAGTTCCAAGCACACGCAGAATAATAATATTTTTTGGCGAGGTTCGGGTGCCCTCTTGTGTAAGTGGAGGTGAGGTACAGAGGCAATGCATGTTAGGATGCAGTGTATGAGGTTTAAAAGTCAATAATTATGAAGTAAATATTTTAATTTTACAACTGTTTAAAGGGACAAAAATTTGAGACGGTGGATATAAATGTGAAATGATTGTCTTTGTAATCCTCAGAAGTTACTGTCTATAGACGATGTTGATTTAAGGTGGCACCAAGATTGAAGTTCATCCGTGTTTTTTCATACATTTCTGTGTATGCTACACACATAATAGTGACCAACTAATGTAAGAAATCATGATTTATAAACAGGACATTCCACCTTTGTTTCACTCTATATCACTCAATTTCACATCCCATCTTTCCCAGGTGGAGAACCCTGGAAAACGTCTATGACAACATGCCTTCAAAAATAGTAGCACAGTGTGACCCCTTAGTAGCATAAAGACACTATCTCACCAAGCACCATTCATTGTCTTGATCTACAAAAGCACAAGTCTGTCTAGAGAAGCTGTAAAATATTTTACATAAGTCAATTAAAAGTATTGCTTTTTCTGAGCAGTTGTAACACATACACACAATATGGCATCATACAGTGACACATAATTCCTAAAGTGTCAAGGCACAGAAGACCTCAAAAAGTTGAATATCTGGAGGAGTCCAAGCTGTTGCTGATTTACGACGTAGCAACTGCTGATCAGAATAAAGAACTCAGAATTCAGTCTCACAATATACAGAACGTCCAGGGTGATATTCCTGGAATCGTATAGACACAGTAGATGCAAGAATCTACTACAATATGTTTGAGTTAATAATGCACATCATCAACAGAAAGCCAACCTTTCATTGGAAAACAAAACTAAAAATAATACTTTTCCAAAAATCAAAGTACTTTATCTAATTCATATTACAAATAAGAATAAGGAGAATCTTTCTTTTTGTAATATTTAAAATAAAACCAGAGTAAGCTCAGCATTGTTAAAATCATAACAGAATTTTAGAAATGTGTAGAAAAGGGTAAGAACAGTTATAAATTCCAAAAATCTCATCCAGTGTTTTCTTCAGTAATGTGACTTATTACAGGTATTCACAACCCATCCATTAACAAATGCTATGTGTTTTCATCCCTAAAAACAAATCCCCTTAATTTCCACTTCTACCCTTAGATCATTATTAGTCATAAAGTAATCCTCTGGGTTGTTTTTGTCATCACTCTGCAGGATTTAAATACTTGTAAAAAGTCCCCTTTTAGCCTCTTCTATTCAAAACTAAAGAAACTCAGGTTTTTACCTGTCTGTATATGATGTTCCATTAAGATCAGGAATTAACCTTATTGTTTTTTAACTGATTCCAGAAATGCAATATCCCTTTTTTTAATGTGGTGAACAGAACAGTACATGATGTCTAAATTAGATCATGATTTTAAGACCACGGGGGTTTGAAATATATACATGAGAGCTGGGAATGTCAATGTACAACACAGCCCAGACATGTTTTACTTCAAGGGAAGAGAGGTGGATATCATTGAGAGCTCAATTGAAACTGAAATGTTCAGGAACCCTGGGAGGTTGATGGTATTAAATAAAGGCAAAATTATGCTAAAATGAATGAATCACCAAGCCATGGCATGTATATATGTCATTTGCTACAGTCTCTTTACCTGACTCTGCACTGTTTTGGTATTTCAGCAATACTGAGTTGGTTGCTTCCCGCATTCTGAATCAGACCTGCCAGTTAGGCAGCATAACTGTCAAGTTAGTTTGCTATAACTTCTCTATTCCTCATACTGCTCCACTAAAAGCTTGTAAATAACACCATAGGCTACTGTAATTCCAATTACTGTAAATACTCAATACATTTCATCTATGTTCAAGGATTATATGGCATTAAGGCCACATTATTTTAGGTAGGTCACCCATGAAATCATGTAGTCAGTGGCAAATGAGTGAAGAATGTCAGTATGGTTGTCTGCAGTGCTCTCACCTCTGTTGGATGCAGATTTTACAGACCAGAAATGGAAATCCTAAAAGAGATACTAGTTTAAGGAAAATATGTTTGTAATTAATATTTGTTTTCTTATTTTAGTTATGGTGCCACTAGACATAAAAATGAGGTGTTCCGTCAAATTCAATTTAACTTTCATTTGTATTTAAACTGACTGGAAACCAATGCAAGGACTCTGAGACAGAAGTGATGTGATCACTCGAATGCGACCAGGTCAGGCTGCTAGCAGCCAAATATTGGCTGAACATATTGGAACTTGTTAAGTGTAGATTTACAGACTCCGGCAAGTAGGGCATTACAATAATCAGTTCTGGAAAAAAACACATTAATCCGCAGACAACTTAAGAAGCAGCTTGGCATTCTTTTTCAAAACTGTAAGTCTTTACAGTATTCTGCACACGAGGTACAGAACTGTACAGTACAGTAGAAAGTCATACTTTAAAGCATCAAATGTGGCACTGAGATCTAAAAGTATTGAGAGTGAAAATGAATCAGCTGCCCCTAACATCAGCAACTTTAACAAGAGCAGTTCTATGTAATTCCAGTGTTATGTATTTGCCTAAAGACAGATTGAAATGTGACAGAACACTCAGACTTTAACCAACTGATGGTGGGATGCTGGTATGTAGGATTCAAGATCTGTAAATGACAAGTTTAGTTTCTTCCTACCTAAACTGATCAAAGTCCTATAAGGGCAGAAAACTCCATTGAGTTCTGAATTAATGTTATAACCTCCACAGACTGGGACTCCTGATTGTGTTTTAAATGTCTAAAACTTTTGAATGGCAGTGTGCGGTACAGTATATAACATACATGAAACATACAGTATATATCCTGTGATGGACTGGAGGCCTGTCCAGGATGTATCCTGCCTTGCCATAGGCTCTGGCTCCACTGTGACCCTGTAGTGGGTAAAGGTAACATTATTACAGGGCAGAGAATTTAATATTTTTTCCAGTCTTACTAGATATAGAGGTGTTGATTCCAAAATGTGTCAATAAAGTGCTTTGATTTTCTTGAAAAGAGATCTTAAATAAAACGTGTATTCATTATCACCAACTGTTACATTTAGAAATCATACAGCTGACAGCCAACTACCCTAGGGCAGGAAGGAATCACATTCCACAGAGATCTGACCCCTACTGTTGCAATGCGCTCTGTCACCTTAATACGCCTGCAGTGAGCCTGCTCATCAGTTCGCTGAGAAGAATTGGGCAGCAATGTCCTCCCAGGCTGTGGGAGGGGAACAGGAGATCTGTGTGCAGCAGTTTGCAGTATGACTCGCTCATTAGATGTTCCAGTATTTTCTGTAAGGCCCAAAATAGATGCTGCCCTGGATTCCATTCAAGAGATCTTGATTACACTTGCACTTTCAGTACCATAGCACTTTAATCATCAGATGCATCTAAGCAGGCTCTATATGACAAGAAAAAAGAAACCAGGAAAAAAATTGTAATAGATTATGTTAAGAAATATCATTATCAGTGTTTTAAGTTAAAAAGCCTCTTCGGGTTGCGTTTCTGACAATAAAACAAATGATAATTATGAGTAAAGTGACTCATACCACTCATTATGCATTTCTGTGGGAAAGTGCGATAAAATTCCTAAAACAAAACTCCAAAGCAAAAACATCATATTTCTTCTATCAGGGTGAAATTAACCCGTACTAATTTCTTTGCAGCTCGCACATTGACACTTTTTCCTTCTCTATGCGGTACAAATCAAGTTTATTCTGATATTAAATATCACGCTGGTTGAAACCCAGATGAAGAAGGGATTTCAAAAGGATTTAGAGTTTACATTTGGCTATGGCTTTTTCACAATATTATTTTAAAGGCTCTTATTCTAGCAAGACTTTGCTGTCAGCTTGTCGGAATTCAGTAATGTCACATATTTAGATGGCACACAGAGGGCCAGATTTCTGAGGGCTGATGCATTAAGAGTGATAAAAATGCCAGCAGTCAGGAGCACAAATGTTTGTGTCACCTTTCCTTGTAATGCTACAGTTATTGCCATGTGAACTTTTTTTGCATTCCAGTGAAATGCTAGCTGCTTTTTAACACATTAGGGCAGGTTAAGCAGAGGTTTACCTGTTGGAAATAGGTGACCTACAGTAACACCCATAAATGTGATCAAAGATGCTTGTGAGCATCCAACCTGAAATATTGTTGATAAAGACATACATGATGTAGCATACTGTACATACAGAGAATACATACAGTACATATAAAACCTACAGTATTCTATTGACGTAACCTGGCAAGATCATCATAACATATAACATGCATCATGGGAAGATGTCATCATCTCAAAAACTAGCAACAATTTAAGACAGTAACTGTTTATTTAGCTGAAGATCATTGGCTTCATTGGCTTCAGAAAGAATCTGCCTGTGGAAACTATGAGCAAAGTTTAAATTCTCACCTGCACTGATATTACAGCGTTGCATATCTTAAGTAACAGAATCAGCATCTTTCCTACAGAGTTTACTAGTATTCATAAGTCCTTCAGATGAATTCTTGAAAGAATATAAAATGCACCTGTGTGCATGTGCTAAGGCATTAAAGAGAAAAATTGTGCTTTTAGAGATCAATTTTTATCCCAAGAAAATAAGTTCACATAATTTACCAATGTTTATAACAACACCAATAATAATAATACAAAAACATGTTTTTAAATGCGTGATAAGAGTAAACTGCTTTGAAATAGTTGGGGAAGCATTTTCAATTAGACAGTGCACGACAAAGGCATTTTTCACAACCATGTGAAATGTTGTGTTCAGATTTGGCCTACCATAAAAGTGAGGTATTTAGAGCTACCTTAGATCTGACTCATGACTTCATCTCTTCTCCATGGAACATAATTACAGTTCCTACCACTTATAGTCAAACAGAGAAGTCTTAAACATTACATTTGTAAATGTACAGCAAAAATACAATTGTTTGCAGAAAATATCGACAATCCCATTACCTTCATGACAACATTGTGTTCTTACCTGATACATTTGTTTTGAATTGTGAATTAATTTAGGCTGTATGCGTAATGGTTTGAAATTTAGATTTGTACATTAATTTTTTCTAAACCCAAATACATTCTGAATATAATGTCACATCATCTCCTGTACTAGTTATTTACAATATGTAACCTGTTCACTATTATCTCCAGATGAGAGTGCCTTCTGTGTAGACTCTGCATGTTCCACAGCCTGTCCTAATAGCACAGGGGGTCATGCAGGAACTACACCCTGGACAGGATGCCAGTTCACACACAAAAGCACACATTGACACACAAGGGATTTAGTAACACCTCTTGACTACAGTAAATCCAGGTGACTCTTTGGATTGACATCATATTGTTCTATAATTTATGGTAGTTTTATATTTACAGAGACATAAATATATTTAATTATTTCAACTCTAACCACATTTTATTCCTGTTGATTGTTAATTATCCGTATTTTTGCCGTACAAGAAAGCATCTGTGAATTACACAGCTCTGTCCGCAGAATTGTCTTTTTGACATCTTCAAATAAGACACTCCAAACACCCATCTAAGCAGACCCATCTGTATGGGACCTGCTTGAGAATATCCTTGGATTATTTCTAATCAGTGAATTGGCTTAGGGCTTGACAAGGAACAGAGAAACAGGAAATCACATAAATCCTGTCTTTTTGGGTGTTTAATGTTCACTTGTTACTGAAGTACTGCCAGCAAATTGTGAGGAGAGTTCTCTCTTTGTTATAGCAAACCCAAGGAATCTGTACATTTAAAATAATGAGCACTACACTATGTGCAAATATTCAAAAATATTTTTCTTTGTGAGAAACCAATAAAACTGTTAATTTTTTTTAAAGGTACCATTACAATAAACCATAACCAAGAACAACTTTGTATTAAAGGGACTATATTTTAGAAATAACACTAATACATGACACTCAAGAACAAAATAATGAAAGAAAAAAAATATATATTCAAAGCTATGAGTATTTTTTTTAATTAAACTAAGGAAACTTTTGACTTTTTTTCTGAGTAGGCTGTCTCAGTTTCCTCATGAATACATTAGGTAGCTTGCATTAAATACAGCCCATGGGTATTTGTAGTTGAAAGCTAGTCTAACGTTTACCCATCAAATTGCAAAATCGTGGAACAGACACCCAAAATAGACAAGGGAGTGGTGAACACTAAAGTAATTCTGAGAAATTGACACATAAAGTAGGTGGTACTTGATGACAAGTTGTCGTTGCTGCTAAAACTAAAGTGAATCATGTTGGACTCAGTAAGACCAGAAGACCATCCACAGTGGAGTGAATGTCTTGAGGTGATTCTTCAGTGACACACTTCTATTACTGGAGGTCCTTTAACTGAGAATATTATCATGATGACTACAACACAGTCCACAGTGTGATTTTTTGTGAACTGGTCATACATCCACAGTTCAGTTTCCTTTTCTTCCTAAAAAAGATTACCTTGATATCTGTATGTTCTTCCCATGTTTATGTGGGCTTCTTCAGGGTACCCCAATGTCTTCCCACAGTTCAAAAACATGTTGGTAGGTTAATTGGCTTCTGGGAAGATTGGCCCTAGTGCAAGTGTGTGTGTGTGTGTGTGTGTGTGTGTGTGTGTGTGTGTGTGTGTGTGTGTGTTTGTCATCCCGTCCAGTTTGTATCCTGCCCTACACTTTTGCTTGCCGGGATAGGCTCCAGCTCTCCCACGAACCTGTACTGGACAAAGCAGTTAGAAAAATGATGGGAATAACACTGAAAAATGGTTAATTCAGCATGACAACCTTTTTTGGTCATACATAGTCTCTACAATTCTGTGAGGTGTTTAATATAATGCTGATATGAAAGATTGAACACAGTTCTATTCAAAGTATAAAAAGTTCTAGATGTGTGTTTTATTTAAAAAAACAGCACACTATGCTTATGCACACTACTTTAAAAATCTGTGATAAAAATAGTGTGATAAATGTAGGTGTGTTAAAATGATTACATGAATCACATTACATTTCTTTCGGTAAGTGCTTATCCAGTTCAGGGTCATGGTGACCCAGATGGTGGCACAACACAGGGTACATGGATGGGACGCCAGTCCATCACAGGGTACTAACAGACACAAACACATACAGTACATTTACACCAGTAATGTACCAGTATGTTTTTAGACTGTGGGAGGAATACAGATGACCTAGCAAAAGCTCACACTTTCAGGGGCTGAACATGTAAACTCCACACAGCAGGTGCTCCAGACCATACTTAAATGAAGAACCTAAGAGCTGTGCTGCAGCAACTCTAATTGCCATCCACAACCAAACCATTATGGTTCAAACTACTTCAAGCGGTAGAACAGAATAGACCTCGTCATCCAGAATTGCCTGTGCAACTCCAACAGACTGTGGTGAAAGAGTCTGACGCTCCTTGGATTTGTATTTCTTTCAGTTTTTATGTTACAAAAGCATAGTTCTTGCATAATTTCCGGTACTTCATCCAAAAATTAAAACACCCCAGGAAAGAAGATACAGTACCTTCATACCAATCCTATAATTCAGATATTCAGATATTGAGATATTGAGCAATTAACCAGATAATGTGGTATTGTAAACACTTATTAGATTAAAGAACTGTTTACTGCTTCTGCCTCATGATGCAATGGAGCATGGATAATAACAAAACAGAATGCAAACTCTTTAAGAGTTTTCTTAGGTTAATAAGAGGGTGTCAATAGTAAGATGAATCTAATTGATCTGACTGAGAATTACAAGAAGCTAGCTCCTATTTAGAGATCTCTTCCTACCCAGAACAGAATGTCAGATCTACACTGCGCTTAAAATAGAACGTGTGTAATTGCTGTGAGGACTCTCTGCAGCTGCGACTTGAGTGCCTGCCATGTTACAATTGCTTAAAGGAGCAGATTATAAATTAGAATCACACCCCAAATGTGCTTCGATTGATATTGACATTCATCATTGCAACAATTGTAATTGTAAAACCGCTCCTAAAAAGTTCTCTGTTGTGAATGACCAGAATGACCAATTTTACTAAGTTTACGTTCAAAACTTTAGCCGCATGCTGCAATAAAATCTCGACTTTCCTGAAGCTCCCTCACAATAGTAATTGAAAATCCAACATTTGGTCTTTTTCACTAAGTAGCATTTAGAGGAATAGGAACAAATAATAGGTTTACTCCATGCTGAAAAAAAGAAAAAAGAAAACACAATGTTTCGGCCGTAGAACCTTATTCAGGTGTAAGCATACGCATGCTGATGCAGCTACCCACCTGAATATTTAGAGGAATAGTTAGCATGACAACTACAGAAAACCACACAGAAGCAAACATGTGTTGCACCTTTTGTAAATTTAAAATTTCCCTTTAGTGGTAAAAGTTCATATATTCAATACTAAGCGGATTAAAACGTGCACAGTAAAGAGATTAAATGATTAAATCTTTTCACTACCGACCAATGCACCACGAGTGCTCCTGTAGGTCATTTTGGCCAGCCAATCACTTACCGCGGTAGACTGCGGTGGCTTGTGGGTAGTTGCGTGCGGTAAGGGTTGTACTGTGCATTTTGAATGGCTGCATTTAAGGGTCACCTATAGAATCCTCCTCATTACTGTTTGAAATTATTATTCATTATTTTTCTAGTGTTGTCAGCACAGTATTCCTTTTTCTTTTTTATATTATGTTTCCTGAGTTCTCTTGATGGGTCCTTCATTTTTGACTGAGAGATCAAATCAAGGATCTGATTGTAAAACCCTTCAGCAGTTAGTGCTAAGACTGAGAGGGAAGCAAATAAAAAAACAAATCCATGTCCTTCTATCATTTGAACACGAACACAAAAGCAATGAATAAATAAAACAGGCATCTATAAAATTAACCCACAAAGGACAGGAGTATTGAAGTAGTTTTTATTTTTATTTTACTGAATAGGTAAACAAAAACAACAACAGAAAACTCCTTCACACTTAAATAATCCAACACACAATACTCAGAACATTCCTTAAAGTGCCCAACAGTCAAACTGACTGATCTCCATGCCTGCTTTCTTTTAATACAGGAGAGCAGTCACAAGGCACCATATGGATGGTTTATGATTGCCCATTCTAATAATAAACTAAATACGAAAGCCCCTACAGCAGAGACAAGAGAGAATGGGATTTTATTTAGAGGCTATTTCCAGAAGCTCAGCAAGGACTGCTGGCAAATGCCAGGATTTATATTAGAAGGTTTTTATTGACGGTACCATATCCATACCACTTGTATCTCACATTTCCAATTAGCTCTTGTCATAAGCAAAGCAATAATTCCAATGGAATTAGGTGTCAAATCAAGATAAGTTTTGATGAATAAGCTATTGCCCAGAACAACAGAATTTTCAAAAGTTTGTATGAACATTATACAAATTTAATGGAACTTAAAAGTTTTATCATGGGAAAAGTAAGGCCATGAATCACATAGGCTTATATATTCACTTATTTGTGTTATGCAAGATTTGTGCTGTTTACAGGTTAGGATTACAATTCCCACAAGTTTGGCAAAAGATCAAAGACCTTTATCATATGATACCAATTTATGAGAATAATAAGGGTTTCAATTACTTGAGTGCATTACATTCCAATTTTTTTATGAAGTCAGCCAATTAATCAAAAGAGTATAAGACAGTGATAGAGCACTGTGGTGCCATAAATGGGATTCTCTTACAGAAGCTGTTAAATCAGATTTTACAGCACAAAGACAGTTTGAACCACTGTCATTGCTCTGCTTGTGTAAAAAGACCCTCTCACATACACACAGAACTGCTCTGTTTGTTCCTAATTTAGAAATGTGTTAGCACAACACTACTTTTTAACTCCCCTTGACACAACTGTTTGTACTGGCAATATTTGTACATTAATTTATGCTACTGAACAAAAACCCTACTAGAGCATTGCTGTGAGCGATCCATGCTTTCATGTTAATTTACAACAGGGATTTTAAATGTTGTTATTTTAAAACTATTCTAAATCTCTTAGTGCAAAATCATATTTGTACTGTAGCATTAAAGGTGATGAGAATAAGCCTCTCTATCCCTGGTACAGCTGGGAAATTATATGAATACTACTTTTGGATTATTGTCTTAAATCATAAAGCATTTTCCTTCACCTCTCTGATATGTTTCTGTATTCCACATCAGATGTTGCCTGTCTTACACGAAAGTGTACATAAAGTAAATTTCACTGGTTTTCTTTTATTTTCATAGCACTCCATCAGTGTTATTTAACTCTGTCATGTTTTTGCGTATTATAAGTAACCACACACAATACAGTGAATTTGTTTTTGATTAACAAAAAGCTGCTCTGTACAATTTGGTACATTATGCTATGTGAAAACATTTATTTGGCCTGGTGTAGATGTCAAGGACTTTTCACTTTCTGTGTCTAAAGATGGCTTCCCAAAGGCCTATTAGCATTTATAACTCCAATGCCTGTAAACATTTACTCATTTGAACACATGTGGTAAAAATCATTGATTGCAGCAGTTGAGCACTGCCTTCTCAGTCTGTCTGTAGTAAAGAATGACTTCATGCAAAGCATTACTGTGAGTGTGGGACATTACAGGCACAATAATCCCTCCGACAAAAGTGCTCCTGACTGTGTAACCTCAGAACACTGACAAAGTCTGTTTATAACAAGTTGTGGAGAAAGTTAAAGACATTTTACAGACTGCTTAACATAGTTTAGATGTTCTTTACCTTTTCCACAAATATTTTAAACATTAAATTTAAAACAAATTTAAATCTGTTACTACAAAGATAACTTGAAGACTGCAATGCCGAGATGAGACTGCGCCCTGAAGTTAGCAAAGCAAGTGGAGCAAACTGACTGAGAATAACACAAATCTCTACCCAGAGCTAACTGCACTCACATAAGGTTTAAAAACATAACAAACAGAATGCTAGAATGTATTGCTGTAAAGAATTCATCTGAAATCAAATATTTGTATCTTCAGGAAGCAACATCTGCCAAAGGAAAAAAAAAAAACTCCAAGTGTTTATATGCTTAGTAACAGCTACATTCTGTACAGTTTGCAGTGAGAAATGTACTGAATATGAACTGAATGTAACCTGCATTAACAGACACTAAAAAAAGATAAAACTACATCCAAAATATGTCTCAAGGTAGTGGCTTTTTAATAAAGGCCATTTCTTGACTCTTCAGTTTCAGAAATAATGACGTTCCTTTTACAGATATCTCTTTCATTGATCTAACCGCGATAGTCCCAACAGTAAAAAGTTTTCATTACTTTGCGAAGTGCTCTTGTTGATACAAATATGAACTTCCTTCCCAGTCATCTACAAGATGGCGTAACACAACTGCCGTTAAAGTCCTTAAGGCATGCATTTTATAAGTTCATTCAAAACTACAGGAATATAAGTGATTTAGAGCAGCAAATTGTCTTTTTATCTGTGCTTTTCTTTTTATTTCCAGCTTCGGCAGTGCTGTTAGGAGATCTCCTTCTCCATTGTGGCATCCACGTGACCAATTCTGTTTAATTCCCCTTTGCTTGGGGGGCTACTGCCTTCCACAGAGCCCTCACTAACGGACTGTGGGCCTTCACAATACTTCTGCTCCTCACCAATCAGCTCGAGTCCTTCCAAAATGTTCTGCACCTTGCGGACCCCATCTCTCCTTGCCTGCCTCACATCATCCCGGCCTTCAGGGTCAACAGAGTCCAGGGCTAGCAGTTCTTTTGTTAAAAGCTCTTCCAGTATCAGGTACTTTTTGTCGTTCTTCTTCCCATCAAAATATTTTACCTCCTCTTCTAACTTCTGCACCCTCTCCACAATCTGCTGAACTTTTTCCAGGCCTGGGTGTCTTGGAGGTAATTCCACTGATTCCTCCATCTTCTGTGGATGAACCTCTTCTGGCACTGGCCTAAATTCTTGGGGTTCAGATTTTACTGGCACTTGGACTTTGACCTCTGTCTTCTCTTGTTTCTCAGGAGGCTGTCTTGCCTCAGCATCTCTATGGACTGCCTGGGCAAACCCTTGAGGCATTTCAAATCCTGGTGGGCTGCCATGCTCCTCCTGGTAAAATTTAGGAGGAGACTCCTGCTGTACAATATGATGTTGAACCTGAGGAAAACAGAATTTATTTATTTTACTTTTTACAACCTGTTGACCTCCGAATTGTTTGGTGAAATCTAATTACAAGGATACCAGTTTATTACAAATGTTACAAATATATGTCAAGGCAAAAGGATAATCTAATGAGTAAAAGCACATTCAGGAAAACCAAATCATAAGAGCAAAAACGTGGCACAGGGATAGTATGGTAACAGTACGGAATGTTTTTTTAAAGTTTAAGGAGAAGGGACAGACTCCTAAAATCAATTTTATTTTACAAAGCTCCTATGTAAAGTGTTATAATTTGGTCAATGAAAATGTTTTCCAAGCACTCGATTTGACCCTGGGACAACAAATTCACCTGTATCAAGGCAACCGTACATGAAACGTCACTTTTCAACATTCTGAGACTGGTTTTCATAATTGGTTTAACCAATTAGTCATTCTAATTCTGTACCTGTGGACGCTCTCCCATGACCTGAGCCTTGACAGGTGACTGGGCTCTGGCGTGGGGGGGAATCTGCACGGGAGAGGTCTCGTGGCTTGGCCTGTCGCGATTGGAATGGGCAGGGGCTGTGTGGACAGTCCATTCTTCTGGCTGGATTCGGGAGAAGGCTGGCTGGTAGTCCATGTGAGAGGGACGCTGGGGGTGGACAACAGGCGTGGGCGGGCCCAGGGAACGGCCCGTTGCCCCCTCGTGGATCACGGGTATGGGGATGTAACCAGGCTGAAGCTGGGGTCCACTGCTTCCTGGCCGGGCAGGCTGGTGGCCAGGAGCCGTGTGGGAGCACGAGGTCTGGGGAAGGTGCTGATGGTGGACATGGTGAAGGGTCTGAAACTAAGACAAGAATAGCAGCACATTAAGAGAGACATTTTGTGGTGAGAGAGAGCATATACAGCTAACGAATCTGGATCTGCGTAAGCTCTACCTAATCATTTTCAATTGTTCTGACACTTTTATGAGTGTGTCCTGAAACAGACAAAGTAGCTTTGAGTAGGTCTTATTAAACAAGTACTCTCTGTGGTGGGTTAGCTTTTAACTATTGCATATTTTCTGTAAAACCTATTTGAAGAGAGCTGGTATTTTGTTAAAGAGGAAACTCAGACTAAATCTGGATCACTTAACACTAAGATAATAAAATATTGCCATATACTGCTTACAGCTACATTATATGCCATAACTCTCAAATAAACTGCTCTAGAGAAACCCACTGCATGTCTTACCATTATTATTTGGAGACCAAAGGCAAATCAGACTCATGATCTAAAAAGGATATTTCATTTTTTTTTAAAAAGTAAAATAAACCCCTCCAAAAATAACCGTTTTTAAAACGCTTCCAAGAGGCTTCTCTGGTGTGCATACCTAGAACGTAGCAGTGAGCCCCTAATGAAAACAGACAAGTGTGACGATGAAGAACAAATTACCTCAGGTGCCTGTGAGACAGGTGAAGACGACAAGCCTTGCCCACAGTGTGGATCACTCGGACAGTCCTCTGCTGGGAGCCTGATGGGGGACTTGGGTCGCCCTGTGTGACCTGGTGTGGGAGAAGGCACCCGCCCCTCGGTCCTGACCCTCTGCATGGGGGCAGGCTGGGGATAGGAGTAGTACGGGTGTTGCTGCTGCTGCCTGGGATCCACGTTGTCATGAACAACGGGGATGGGGATGTATCCTGGCCGAAGGTTTGGGTATTTCACCTCCCTCTGATACTGCTTCTGAGGCTCCTGGGGAGACAGCTGTGAGGCCAGACAAGGGCCGTTCGAAGAAGCCTGGGCATCCTTGAAGAAAGACCATCACAAAGAAATCATTTTAGAAAACCTTTTGCCTTAAAAGCACGGGGAGCTACATCTTAATATGTGAGAATATGAGCCATGAGCCCACTTTGAATATCTTCCAAGACTTTGAGAGTTTAAAATCTACACACCTCAAAACACATTAGGCCACATTCGTAAAACCTCAATGTTGGGCTAATTTATCATCCATTTTTTGATATACAAAACAAACTCGACGTTACAAAATTAGTCATGTCAAATAATAATAGTAACTAAAAAATTAAACTATCAAATCTCCTGAAAGACCTGTCACTTTCTGCGTCGTTTTCTCATAAAAAAAATACAAGTGTACATTTGGAAACAAAGGTAAATGTTTAATGATGTTTTAAAATATTTTTGCCCATTGCTTTTGATTTTTTTCAATTGATCTTTTTCATTGTTACATGTAACATCCATCCATCTTCTAAGCTCTTTATTTAATATAGGAACATGGAGAGAGCCTTAGTCTATCCTGGCAAGCAACAGGTGCAAAGTGGGATACACCCAGGATAGGACTCCAGTCCATCACAGGACACACACAGACACTAAACTGACTGGTAATATGTTCAGACAACACAAAAAGATTGTCATGGGTTTCTTCTTATTTTGTAACATTTGTTCTATATTTAAATTTAGCAGAATATCCTATAATATTAACATAATTTCCAGACTTACCTAAAAACAACGTTACATGATCTGTCTGTAGCAATGTATGACATTCTTAAAGACAACATTTGGGCTTTATCTGGTTTGGGCTTTATCATGCTAGGAGCAATAATTTCAGACAGAATAATCCATGAGAAAAATATTCAGTGCTCTCATGTATCAAAAATGTACGGAGATGTTAGGGAGCTTTACTGAAAAGTTTAAGACAGCTGGCATATCTGACAAGTGCCACAGATATTACTTTGTCAACTTATAGTTCTCTATCATGACCTCCATTTTTCACACCTCTTGTAATTTGATAGTATTTTTCAAGGACCTGCAGAAAACCATTAGTGTCTATGGTAACAGCAATGGAAAAAGATTATTGAAACTGCAGAAAACAAAGATGGACTGTATGAATGAATTACAGAAAGCTCCCTTTATTGAATAGAAGTGGCTTATTTTCAGGAAATTGCTTAATGGAAAAACTACAGCTTGTCAAAAGACTTGCTCTTGAAAAAAAATGTGGTGTTGAAGGAAGGAGCCAAGTTTATGCAATCAACATTTTAATGTGAATACATCTGTGATATTCATTAAAACAACTGTCCAGGAAATCCACAACAGAGATAGATAGATAGATAGATAGATAGATACTTTATTGATCCCGTGAGGGAAATTGCAGTGCAACAGCAGCTTAACACACACAACACAGCCACAGTGTAACGAATTATATACTAATAGTACAATACATACAATACAAAAAGATATTATAAAATATATAATATAAAAGTTTAGATTGCCCACATACAGTAACAAACTTCTTAAATGATAGCTTTACTGTTCCTGTGACACAAAACCTTAAACATTTCAACATGAGACTATTATATTGGTACTGTAGAAAATGAAATTAGAAAATTTAATAACCTAACAAGAAACATATAAGAGAACTTGAATCAATATCAATACATGTCTGTGGAATGCTTTTTAAACTAAACTCCTTTGTTAGAGATGGAGGTTGAGTTTTGTCCTTTTTGCAAAATTCCTTAACCTTCCATTTTCATATACATCCCAAAATAACAACAAAGTGTGCTTCCAGACAGTAGCATGAACTGATGGCCTTTAAGTTAGGTTTAAGTTGTTGTACTTTTCTTACATTCATTTAAAAATATAATTCTTTACAGTAAAAGGTTAATAGGCTGAAGTTCCTTTTTTATTTAAAAATTAAGAACGCCCACACAAATAACTGAACACATTCCAGAATCACAGGAAGAGTCAGCCTTTAATCACTTTTTTGTCTTTTTTTTTAGACTACAGGGAATCATGCCTCATATCAAAGTGCGCCTTGCAATTCAATCAGATCTGAAGAGCTTAACAAAGTCATTGATTCAAAGCTTCTTTTTTCCCAGAAAGATAAAACCCATTCTGTTATGCAAGATACACAAAGAAATTCAGTTTATCATTTTGGATGGCAAATTTCTTATTTTATAGCATGTACTGTTATAATGCAGATATTATTTTCAGGTAAAGGCATAAATGATTTCTGTTACTGGCTATTTCTCAGTTCTTTCATGATAACTTATAATGATAGTACAAAATATCTTGTAATTACTTAAAATATTAAAATATTAAAATGATGTACCGAGATATATCAACTGAGAACAAATAGTTGTGGACAACAAAGATTGAAATAGAAATGCATTTATAGTGAAGGAAATTTACTAGACCTTGCTCTACAGCTGCGTTTGGGCCCATAGACATCTTCTTGGCTCAACGTCCAGAGCCTTAATCACTACTACCCCCGTATGTTTTTAAATAAAACATCAAGGAGCATTTTATTATTTGAAGTCCTGGTTTCACATCAGTCTTCATGCAGAAGTGAGACATTAAGTGAGATAATAACTATTTGAGATTATTGCTTTTTTAGCACTGTTGTATATAAAATAATTTGTTTTATTTGTACCTAGAAGCCTGTCATTGTTTTCCACTTTTTCACTTTCTGAGAAACTTTGCTTTCTATTTCGGACATTGTTGCCTTTTTGGATGTATCTCTTAGTACTTTGATGGTCCTGCAATGATCTGCTGCTCTGCTCTTCTTCCTATGAGTCTGGCCAATTGTCCTTTCACTGTCTTCACTATCTTATGAAGCCGCATGCTTTTGGTCACCCTGTAACCTGTTCATTTCTTTTTCCATCTTGCCTTTCACATACTTGTTTGGGTCTCTCATTTTTGTATTCAGGGTGCAGGTTTAACAACTGTATGCTACTATGCTACTAAAGACAGCACACGCCGGTCAAAGATTTTAAGGCACAATGACAAATTCCCCTTTCTAAATCATACTCCATACTCCAATCTCCAGGTCATTTTTGTGCTCTCTTTTATCCTGGACATCTGGTTTAAAGCTCTTGATTTCAATTGACTCAAAAACATACATAATTAAAGAGCTCTTCAAGTTTGATCCAACTAAATTAATTCTATATAAAATATAAACATGAAAACTGTTCCAGTACTTAATTTTAGTAAATTGAAAGGAATGCTTCTGAGGAAGTGCAACATTAATTTTAGAGCCAATGATCATAAAATAGATTAAAGTATAATTGCGAAAATAGTGAATCACTACTGAATGCTACTAAAAAAATCCCTTTATGTTTTTGAAGAACATCCTAAACACCTACAGTAAAATAAAATATTCATAATCCAATTTAAATTACTGTCAATAGTTTGCTTGAAACACCTACAGTAAATCTATTGTACACTGTTACTTAATGCTTTTTCTATTCTGTTGCTCAGGGAAACACTTCCAATTAAAAATTGTCTTAGGGTGATCTGGCACACAGCAATGCTTGATGTAGTGTATTTAATTTAGTCTGAATATATTTCAGTACATCTGTTCAACCTTTCCCTGTTCCGAATGACATCAGAACATCCAAAGATGCTGCATAGAGACACTGGCTTTTCCGCCTCTCACAAGAAAAATGAGATCACAACCAGATCTTAAAGGAATAGTTTATCTTGTCAGGATTCCCCTGTTACTTCATTTCAGACTTGGTGCACATCTAGACGATTCTGCCAACAGTGGCTCTGTAAGAATTGGATTTCAATTTAAATTCAAAATGCTTTATTCATCACGTAGCCTAACATGTAAACTTGTTGATCTTATCCCCTTACAACTTAGTCCCTAATCTGCTGTCCAGATGCTTTTTGAAAACTTGTTTGCACCGCAATTGTTTGTGAATAATATATGTAGGGACAACATATGACAGCTATACATAAGACAGAGACAATTGAACAAAAGAAATAAAAAGGAAAACAAGAACAACTTGCATTAACAGCTCCTCTCCATTATATGCTGAAATCCCATCTGTATCCATGTACTTATCAAGGTGTTGGTCCCCACAATAACAGGTAAGAGTTCACTGGTTACACAGACTATATAGTGCAATGGAAGACAGTATGTAGTCAGTTCCAAACCCAAAATGGTGAAACTAAAATAACTAGAATCAAATTAATTCAAAGCTCTAAAAATATTTAGCATATGAAACACAGGTCTCTGGAATTTTATCGAAACAATTTTATCAAGCTTTAAAAAGCATGCTCATCACGCTTATGATGACAGAAGTGTAGTTATAAATATACTTTTAGTCTACAAATATCCTTATCAATGTATTAGCATTACATTGCAACATTTCTATTTTTTCTGTTATTATGAACTTGAAGCATGCACTGCCATTTTGGACAACATCATGTTCACTGGCTTACACTACAAGAAACATCTATTCTTGAAACAAATCTCACAACAGCCATGTTATATTACTCTATTAAGAAAGACTGCTGTAAAAGATTACTGAGTCAATTATAACTTTCATTATTCGACATTCTTATTTACATGGGTTCAGGTGTGGAACTGTGTCAGCATGCGTTAAATGCAAAGACCAAAATAAGTGTTAATTCCAAGCTGAAAAGGAGAAAGTAGTAGCTTTTACTTTTCACAATGCAATTAACTTTGACTTATTCTTATTTACTTTTTAAATTTTACTGTCTTTCCTGATTTCAGGTTATTTCCTGATATTGACATTGCTTATAATGACTCATTACTAAATTACATTATACAGAACACGCACTAGATGCATGTACTGTAAAGTTAAATAAATAAAGTGTAATACAGTACATTCCTTGACTTGAGTTTCAATCATGTTGGGGCCTACAGAATAAAATGAAATTCAAACGTGTTTCAGCCAGCAAGATTAGAAACCGAGGCAAGTCTTCGCTTATCCACAGAGGTCTGCATATCATAAAAAGGCTTTAAGATGCTGAAAAAATGATAA